TGAGTGCGGGACGTTGGGCGAGCGCGGGACACTGGGCGACACGCGCAGAGCGCTGGGTGAGCGCGGGAATGACGCCGAGGGGACGTGCGTGTGCGGCACTTGCGACGGGGGCGAACACGCGCGGGCATCAGGCGGCGGGAGCGCACGGCGCGCGACTGGCGACACGTGGACAGGCGCGCGCGAATAGGCATCACGGGCGACGCACACGAGCAGGAAGCTAGGGCTTGGGGGCGCCGACACTACAAAAAAATAGAGTTCAAGTGAAGATTTTTTTTGTCACTATATCTACAATTGTTGTCACTATATCTACTGTCAGTATATCTACAATTTTGTCACTATATCTACAATTATTGTCACTATATCTACAATTGCTGTAGGTATAGTGACATTGTTTCGAGTAAAGTTTCGAGCTTTTGACTATGTTTCTCCTTCCAAGTCTGTGTAAGAGTGGGTACTTAGTCTTAAGCCTCATTACTTCGTATATCTTTGTTTGCTTTTGTGAAAATTAATATTGTGCTTGAGTTGCTTGGAGGAAAAGATTGAATCTTTGGATCGTGAATTATTGACTAAGTGTGATTAGGAGTTAAATGCTTGCTCGTTTTGTGTTAGAGTTTGTTTTAGCTACCTAAGGTTTTAGCTAGCATGACAATATTCAGTTATTTAGAGACTCCGACGAACCAAAATCTCTCTTTCCCCCTTGATTTCTCTCATCTTCTTGCGTGCTTTCTCTTGCTTTGTTAATTGCTTTCAATTGCCCTCAATTTTGTAGATTAGTTTAGCTTAAATCAATCCCCTTCAAGCGAGTAGCGTGTTTAGGACCTTTTCGGTTGTGTGATTTGGCGACTAGATAGTGAATGAAGCTCCGAAGAGCCTTCTTTGAGAACGACCCGAGTCCGGGTAACTCGGTTACCAATTGCCCAAAAATACTACAAACACTGGGCGATTCCGTTGGAAGGTTTTGATCGAATAGGAAGAGCTACCCGAAGAAGAGGCAAAGTGGGAAAACGTTCATGATATACGTAATCACTTTCTGGACTTTATCCTTGAGGACAAGGATTTGCTCGAAGGTGATGGAAATGATGAGAACGAGGGGTGTATGCTCAAAAATGCCTACAATCGGGCCCAAAGAACTCGCATAAAAGGGGCTAAGATTGACGAACCAAGTAGCAGGCTCTTGAACCTCATGCAGCAGACTGCCGCGGCTCATGCCACGCCGGGGGCACCGCCGCGTTGCGGAGCTCCACGTGAAGAGCTTCACGGGCATACAGAGAGTGAGGACTTCCTCCTGCTCCACGCCACGAAAGAATGCCACCTCCGTGAAACGCCGCCGCGCCGCGACACATGAAGATCGTGGAAGTTTGGCAGCAGTTCAAATCAGTCTCTTTAGCAATTTTCATGTTCTTTTTCATTTTGCAGTACGTATTAAAGACTTGTATCTTTGCAGAACCTGGTTTATCTTTTATCTTTCAATTAATATAATCGCTCGGCTTGAGCACCAAATTCGTGTCTACCGGCGGCCAATTAGCGCGGGTTTACACATCTTTTTCATTATTTTCTTATAATCGATACACGACCGTAACACAATGACACCACACACCAAGTCATCACACCGCAAAACATACAATTTCTCTCATTTTATTCTTTTTTTTTTTAACAACGTGCATCTAGTCGTGGATATCGAGCTGGGTTGACCCGCTAACCATCCCTTCGGGTCCGTTGATCGATCTGTGTTTTGGGTCAGTCGGATTCAATTTGTAAATAATTGTCATCTCATCAGTTTTGAAATTGTTCAGGCAAGAACTAGAACTTGTGAGTTTTTTGCAGAACCTGGTTTATCTTTTATCTTTCAATTAATATCATAACAAAAATCGCTCGACTTGAGCACCAAATTCGTGTCTACCGATGGCCAATTAGTGCGGGTTTCTATATTTTTTCGTTATTTTCTTATAATCGATACACGATCGTAACACAATGACACCACACACCATGTCACCAACACCGTAAAACATACAATTTCTCTCATTTTTTTTTTAACAACGCGCATCTTGTCGTGGCTATTGAGCTGGGTTGACCTGTTAACATCCCTTCGGGTCCATTGATCGATCTGTGTTTTGGGTCAGTCGGATTCGGTCTCTTTTGCAAAAATTTGTCATCTCATCGGTTTTGAAATTGGTCAGGCAAGAATTAGAACTTGTGAGTTTTTGCCTACTTTTGAGTTTCTGTCTGGAATTTGAATTTGAATTTAAAATTAGCAAAAACACATAATTACTTCATTTGGAGAAATATAGAGAGAGAGTATTTTAAACATTGTATCGTGGTTTTGACCATATTTATTGACAATGTCCGTTAATTAATTTAATTACTGATTGTTGCAGCAAATTATATTTTTTTACCGAGTACCGAATTGAATGATTCGTTCCCCGGGTCGATCTCTCAAGGAAGACGGTTCAGAATATTGAATCGATGTTGATCGCACATAAAATTAAAATATGTCCTAAACACTCTAATCACGATTGATTTGGGGAATAAACTAAAACTAACTTGAACTAGAAAAGCAAATAAACAAAATAACAATTAAATTGCTGAAGAATTATAAGAAGTTCTATGGGTCGGGAAATCTCATCAAGTCCTAAACTATGTTGAACGCTTATTTGCTCGGTTACGTGATTCAACAAGCCTACACATCTAGAGGTTTATGCTCAATAACTTTTCGTAACAAGAGCACACACATAAACGACAGGCTCATTCAATCAAGCAACTCATAGACAATACTTTTACGAACATGTCTACTATATTCGAGCCTAGATCGATCAACTCCTCCCCTTTCGGTTCTAAGAGTTGACTAATTTAGACTAGACGGTGGTTAATCGACTAATCTATTGGGATTAACATCATCAAACTCGAATGAATCATATCCAATTGGAAGACAATTGCAAATTGAAGAATCACTCTTCAACAACATTCAACATTCAAGAATGAGAATTGGAAACCCTTTTTTTAACACATAGATTGAACAAAACACATTCAACACAATTCAAAACAAGAACCAAAATCCCTAACCTTAGGTGAATGGATTACCTCATTCATGGATTCAATTCCATGTTAATCAAATTGAAGAAGATAAACTCAATCAACTATAATATATAATAGAATTGAAAACTTACAATCGGATTAAGACTTGTAAGAGTTCGATCCTAATGTCTTTGTCTCAAACAATCCAAGCATGGGGGAAAATAAAAAGCGAAGAAACAATCCTAAGAAACTATTTACAAATCGATTCTTGGAGTGTCACCCTCCAAGATCGAATCAAGATGAAAAAAAAATGAAAAAAAGAGTTATGGTTTTTCGAAGATTGAGAACAAGTCCCAATGCAAAGTACTCAAAAAATAGAACAAAATAGGTTTTAGAAATTCTGATCGCGACTTCTGCGGCCGCGGGGGGCTCTGCGGGCGTGACCTTTCAGCTGCAGAAGTGCTCTGCGGCCGCGGGATTCCTCCGCTGCCCGCGGTGAAGAAAATTGGGTTGTTGCGCGTGGCTTTACGTTTCGGGCTCGTTTGAGCTCATCCGAACTCGGAATTGAGTTCCATTTTTCCTACGCATATCCAACGAAACCTTGTAGTTGATTATGCTTTCTCAACCAATATTTTCCTGAAATCGTATTCTCCCAAAGCTTATGAACTACACTCCAAAAACGTGCTTCGCGCGACATCACCTTTTGGGTTCGTTTGAACTCGTCTGAATTCAGAATCGAGTTCCGCTTTTTCCTACATCTTGCCAGACCAGCTATTTCTAGAAATCCTATCCACCCGAAGCTCCCGTCCTGCACACCAAAAAATCAAGAACTCGAAGAAAACAACGACACACGAACAAAAACACATAAAAACTCAAAATAAAGAAAAACACGGATAAAACACTAAACAGACTAAAAACCAAATAAAATAACTAAAACGGGGGAAAAGAAAGGCAAAACAAGCACGAAAAATGCAACAAATATTAGACAAACACTAATAATATAATTAATTGACTTCTTGAACTGGAACTAATACCGCTAAAATCTTTATTATTATGTCGAAATAAATTGTACCAGCCGAGTTTAACATAATAATCTTTCTTGAGCTTATCTCAGAGACATTACCAAATTATCGCACATTGTGAAAGTAAATATTCAAACAGCAGACCATACACACAACATTATTACCCAATACACGTTACAGTACTGACTCAGCTAAATGGATCTCATTTTTTGTGAATCAAAGTAGCAACTACTGTATGTGTGAGAATGTGAGAAAAGTATCTGATGTATTAATCACAAAGGTATGTACATGTATATAAAGATAAAAGATGGGCTTATGTTGGTCTTAATCTAACTTAACCGTACAATGCATAATACAACTACTATATAACTAACGGTATGCACATTTCTATTTATATCTTACCGGTTAAGTGTACACAGTAATTAACCAATGTCTCATCTCTGAGATCCGTTCAGTGGAACTACATAATTATTGTTGCTAAGAATGTCCAAATTAGACCAAGTATACATGTTTGTTTATGGGATCACTTTGAATTGTGCAATGATGGTATACATCTATATATATATATAACCTTGCTTTACATACAAAAATTTATTCAGTTCTCAGATAGGCACGCATGCTCTCTTATAAAATACAATATTTCCAAGCACAAGAAATTTAATAAAAAAAAAAAAAAAAAATCCTTTGGTGTGTGTATGTGTGTGTGTGTGCATTAGTCAAAATTCGGTGCCTCTTTCTTGGTGCAAATAGAAAGATTCTCCATAAATTAGGACCCCCATTTTACTCTCTAAAGCACCTTTTATAATAGCCTCAAAGGCCCCCACCTTATTCAAATTCCAACTTTTTGGCCGGGAAACATTAAACATATAATTCCCATTTTTACTACTTATTAGCACCATTTTTCACCATATCTTCAAGCTGCAAAGCCATCACAGGTGAATTTAAGGCCCAAAAAAAGAACAAGAAATGGGCTCAGGAGATAATGTGTTCACAGTTGTGGCAAAGAACATTGATGTTCTTGCAATGTAAGTCATGTAATGTAATCAAACAAAAGTAAATCTTAATTGTCGCACTTTCGATTTTTCTATCAACTCTTAAGAACTGATCATATTGATCACGAGTTATCGTATCGTGCTGATCCGTTGAATCTTGATTTTATTGATCGACAGGCCTCTCGTCTCTCTTGTTTTTCCTCTGTAAGTCGGATTTCTTTTTTTTTTTTTTTTTATTTGTTCAACTTTTTTTAGAATAATTAATTAATTATTCGTTTTAAATTTGTTATTAATTTGGACAGATATTGTTCCATCAAGGCCATAGAGACCAAATCCCTGGCAGATGACCAGCAATGGCTTACATATTGGGTTCTTTACTCTCTCGTTACCTTATTTGAGCTTACATTCTCCAAAATACTTGAATGGTAAGTTTCATCTCATTTAACTTCATCTCCCAATTTATCACCAAAAAAAAAGAGAAAAAACTAGCTGATAAGATAGTTGATAGCTGATAAACTAGATTTATAGTTTATATCTAAATTTTGAGCTTATACCTTGTATTTTTATGACTTATAGCTGAAAAGCTAGCTTATATGATAAAAGTGTTTGGTACAATGAATTGGTAAGCTAGCTGAAATTAAAAAAAAAAAATCAACTAGCTTATTTGAAAAGATACTTAAAGAAGTTTATGAGATAAACTTGAGCTTTTAAAAAGTCCGTCCTTCCAAACGGGGCTTATTTGAATATAGAAAGCTTATAAGTTAATAAAAAAAAATTATAAATTAGCTTATATGGCTACCAAACACTGGCGAAGACTCCGAATTTGCTTGTAGCATCTCATGCACGTGAGTGGGGCAAGTGAAGGCAAAAAGCACTAAACTTTGGATTCTTTTTAATTAAAAAAAATAGGATTTTTTCTTGATGGGTCAAAGGTAGAAAAAGTCCTTCATTTGTCTTGGTTGGACTTTTTCATTTGAAATTTTTCAAGCAATACTTACATGATCCTTTCATTTGAAAATATCAAAATTTGCAATCTATTTTATTAAAAGAAATAAATTGATTAGTAACAGTTTTCTTGAATATATTGATCATATATCATCAGGTTCCCGATTTGGTCGTACGCGAAATTAATCGGCGTGTGCTGGCTAGTGTTGCCTTACTTCAACGGGGCAGCATATGTGTACGAGCATTTTATAAGGCCTTTCTACAGAAACCCGCAACTTAAACTGTGGTACGTCCCCAGAAAAATGGACATATTTAAGAAGCCTGACGATGTCTTGACCGCTGCTGAGAAATACATAGAAGAAAACGGACCCGAAGCCTTTGAGAGGCTCATTGCTAGGGTAATTAATTCTTAATTGTTTTTTAATTAAGGATTTTCATTGAATTTATATTGGTGAGATTCATCTTATTTCCCACTAAACAATTTTAAAGCCTATATTAGTCTAATTAATTAGTACATTTTTTTTTATTGATTTGGTGGAGTGCAGGCTGATAGAGAAGCAAGAAGCAGGAGGAGCAGCTATACAATCTTTCATGATGATTATCAATACCACTGAAGTTTTGTAGCTCTTACTGCAGCTTTGAAGTTTGAACATTGCACTTCTATTATGGATCTATGTAAAAATAGCCTTTTAAAACCTCTTGAACGTTTGAGTTTGATTAATTTTGATCATGCTTTCTTTTGACATCTTTGCATGTTCCTTCAACGAGGATGCTAATGTAGTTTGTATTTTGTATGTGAATCTCAAAGGAGATGGCAAAATTAAAGTCGAGACACGTAATAATTACGTTCTCGTTAAGACGAAATTGTCCCGTAAAATTACCGACGGTTAACGACAAACGCCTGCAAAATACAACGACTTTAACTTGTCTATAGTAGTATTTGGAATATGCAAGCCTTTAGGATATACTATTGTTTGAAACTCTCAGGACTCAACAAAAAAAATCAAAGAACACAATATGTTTTATGAACTTTGAAAAGTAATGCAAGAGTTCTAAATTTTCAAGTTATGAATGATTTCATTCGTTCACAATAGCCATGAAATGATCATCTTAGGGTGTATGTGGGTTTTTATAGATGTAGGAAAATATTTCCAATAGCTTAAGTGTCAAAAGACACCTTTTGGGACGTGCTCGAATGAGAACGGACGCATCTAGAGACCAAAAGACAACTTATGGTCACTAAGGGTCAGTAGCACATCCGTGCGCTGCGGGCTCATACGAGCTCATTCGGACTCGAAATCTAGTTTCGTTTTTTCCTACTAGTTTCCAACACAACTTTCTAGATTATAGCATGCAAGATGCATGATCATAACTCGTTCGGATTGTCCTAACATTCTTCAAAGATAGAATGTTTTGCGAATCCAATAATTTGGTTTACTAAAACTCAATTGTTTTAACTTTAGATTTCTCACGTATACGACTTAGAATTAGTTTCTCGTTCACCTTAAAATGGTTTTGAGAATTTTCTATGTCTTTCACTTACGACAAAATGAAACCTTAAAACTGGTACAAAATCAATTTTTCTTACAATCCCGCACATAAATTAAATTAATGCATGTATGCAACACTTGAGGGTCCCAACGAACTGTCATTTTATCAGGGATAGATAGCTTGTGCTTTTGAATCTTGCTTTTGAATCTTTCTTAGTGCAATACTATTGGATACACTAGCCAGTTAGTAGCGTGATGCTTTGAACTAACTTATTGTTTGTGTGTACCAAAACAATAGTACTCACACAACTGAGATCAAACAAAATCTTGTTCTGATGTTGTGTCCATTTCGGCAGTAAGCATATCTCGGTTTAGTAAGTGTCTGTTTGAAGCGGCCTATTTACTCTCACTTACAAAGGTTATTCTCCTATAGAGAGTATTTGTCTTACTCTACCCTTAACTATAGAAATCGTTAAAAGTCCTCAATTTAGCCTCATCACTTAGGTAGATTTTAACCCTTGACGGTTCTTAGGAATGAGTGAAATTATTAAGTGTTTCACTGAACTGTCAAACTTAGTTTTCATATTGAACCAAGGTTTAGGTATCTCCGATTCTCATGGTTGGGTTACCGCTAAGACAGTTTGTAGTGGATTTTTATTAAGCTCATTTCACTAACTAGTTTGTACAACTTCCTCATTTCATGCTTTTTGTAAAAGAATCTATTACGCGTATCTTTGACTTCACATAGTCAATTGTATAACCCCTGCACGAGATGAGTTGTTTCATGAAATTAAGTGTCCGACGTCTATGTCTAGACTTACTGTTGTGACTATACATAGTTGAAGGAAGTCGGTAATCTATATAACTTTGGGACGGTATTTTCTGTGATTATATATAGTTCATTACCATGATTGAAAACTCTTACGTCAGATGTTTACGATTAATGTAATTATAGAGTTACGGAGTCTAAAATATTAACTCGAACGTCGAACTGGGCACGTGAAACGATGGTTGTGGGATTCAAAGGGTCAAGAGTCATATCCTACATTGGACTCTTAAACGAGAATAATTCTATTTATTATAATAAAAGAGTTGGAGAGGTCACAACAACAACAAAACTATGAACCGGACATTAGTAATGGCTTCAGCCACACGCGCGCACACGCGTCAGTCGGCCAGTCAGCTCGACTCGGTACGGGCACAAGCCTTGGCTTTGGCCTTGGGCCTTGGTACTTGGTAATTAGACTGTGGACAAGCCTTGGACAGTCTGGGCCAGTGTTGGACTTGGGCCTTGGGCCTAGTCCTTATAATCATTCTGCAACAATTTATTTGCCAAAATTGTGGCTTAAAATGAAATCCAAACCGAGTTGGATTTGGACTCGAGTTTTGACCCCACTCGTGAGAGACCTCTTAAGATACATTGTATCTAGACTTGATTGACTCCACCTGATCGTTTCCGAAGTTATCAGATGGAGTAGTGGTGTCTTAACATCTGAAAACGGTCTGACAGTTTTGATGACCTTAACAACTGTCATTGGATTGTTACCAGCTTTAAGTGACAGATGACTCATGACTTCCCCTGCCTCAATTGGAACTTTGCAAGTACGAGTTCTTAGGGTGCAACAAACACAGTGAACATACAACTATATCTTTATTCCCTACTGATAGCCTCACACATCATACATACAATGCTCAATTCTCGACTCTATTCGTGTTGCCGGAGTTTGGAAGTCCAGTGAGCTACAACCTTCGAGATGTTTGTCTTTGTATTTATAGGGACAAGACGCAAAGACTTCAACACTATACAGAACATATTTGTCTTGTAGATAGAGATCTTCTCGTCTCGCCTTTTAGTCTTTCCGCTTAACATTGTAATTTTTAGTCTTTTCGCGTGAGTGCCCAAGATATTCTAAACTCTTCAAATCAAAGGATGTGAGCCAAAACTTCAACATAAACGGAGACAAAAGTGCCAATTATCTTATTTCCTCTTTAGACCAAAGCAATTGCTTTTTGGCCTTATTTGTCAAACGAAACGAAAAAGAGACTCGAGAAAATGAAGAAAGATGAAAACATTAAATAAATCGAATCTCTTTCTCTCTCCCGCCTCTCATGCAAACAGACTTGCAGTTGATGACATGGAGTTTTTCGCGGAATATAAGGAAATGTTGGAAAATTAGACAACGAGCAGAGAGAGAGAGAGAATGAGAAATGATAAAATCGAAAAAAAAAAAAACAAACAAATTCTCCAGAAATGTATGCACGTTTTGAGGGTTCTCACCCTGAAAATTCAACCCTTTTCGTTTCCATAATTTCAAGAACCAGAAAGAATCCATTTTCTTTCTATTTGCGGCCTCAATTTAGGTTCTGAGCTCGCAATTTTTTTTTTAAGGAAAAAAAAACATAGGAAAAATCGAGCTGATTTTTGGTGTAATAAGTTCCATTTGCGAGGAATAGATTGGCACGGATTATCTTTGTCTTTTGGGTTTCTTGTCGGGCTGTTTTTTGTCTGGATAATTAGGTTTCTCCTCGGCACTTATGCGCCGCTGCGAATTAGAATCAAGAAAATAGTTCTTTTAGGGTTCAAGATTTGATCTTTACCCCTGAGCCAGCCAGCTGTTTCTTGAGCTGATTTGTCCTTTTTTTATTTATTTTTATTGTACTGAGTCTTTGATTCTAAAAGGGTTACAATTGTACAATTTTTTTGGGACCCTCTAATTTTCCCATATGGGGTAAATGGTGAAGAAGTTTAGCTCTGAATCTTTGAAGTTCAGCTGTGGTATATGGAGCATCACAGAAGGGGTAAAAAAAAAATTTAGAAACTAATAACTCAAATGGGTTTTGGTTTAACTGCTGGGTTGTGGAGCTTATTTACATTGCTACTTGAATGGCTGATTTGCAGAGGCCTAGTCTTGTGGAAAGGGACATTGACCAGGTAATCTGTATAATCATGTGTTTGTTCAGTTAGTAGTCTTTTTCGAGTAACTTCGTTATGGGACTTCCTTATGGAAATGCTGTAGTGTTGAAGTAAAACTTAGAAAATCGTGACGTGTTGTTGATGTGAATTGTGTTGTAATGAAATTCGTTCTTTAGGCCATCACAGCCCTTAAGAAAGGGGCACACTTGCTGAAGTACGGTAGGAGAGGGAAGCCGAAGTTTTGTCCATTTCGACTTTCCACGGTAGGCTTTTACTTTTTACTCTGGAAATTTTAATTATGCTTCGACTGTTAATAATGATGTATCACTGATTTTAATCTATTTCACATAGGAAATCTGGTTTACCATTGCACGACCTTCATTTTATGTCTGTTATCGGTGTATGTTTTATGATTTCCTTGGCATTTTATTGTGCCAAGTAAATTTACTTCTGAATGAACTAAGGGATGATATTTTAAGTTCTTCTAGTGGAAAAGAAATGAAATATTAATTTTTTGGTTTTTTGAATGGTGCTTGATGATAAATTTCAGGACGAGACCACCTTGATATGGTACTATGGGAAAGATGAGAAACAGCTTGAGCTACGTCATGTTTCGAGGATAATTCCTGGGCAGAGGACTGTAAGTATGGACAAATTTGATTTTCTCCATTCCGGGAGGCATTTATGCAAGATTTTAATTCCCGAACCATTCTCTTTTGTGTTATTGCAAATTTTGTTTGTAGCATTATAGTAGTTCTCTACAGTTTTGTTTTCACAAAGGAACTATGTGATAGACTGTAGTTATTTGTGGAGAATTCTTGTTTCCTTAAATTGTTTGTCCAACCAAATCAAGAATAATGCAAACCTTTCTTTTTCAATTTCCAGCTTAACTCAATATTTTTCCAATGTAAATGACTGTTAAATTCAAAGCAAGTGATACAACGTTTTTTCTTCCAACAGTCGGTATTTCAGAGGTACCCCCGGCCCCAGAAAGAATACCAATCATTTTCTCTGATTTACAATGACAGATCCTTGGATTTGGTGAGTTTCTCGTTACTTTCTCACTACGCCAACCGTGCATGATCTAATTACTTTTTGATTGATCGTCTTTTGCATGTCAACCATGCACTTGTTAATATTTTGACTCAGTTACTAAATTATCTCTGTCAAGTCTACTAATGTTTCTTGTGGCAGATATGCAAAGACAAGGACGAAGCCGAGGTCTGGTTTGCTGGTTTGAAAGCTCTAATCGGACGTGGCAGCTGCAGAAGGCAAAGAAACGAGTCGAGATGCGAAAATGCCCTGCCCGAAAGCCCACGCGGTCGGAGGATCACCCCATCAAATTCAAATCAAACCGTGAGAACTATTATCATTACTTCTTGTCGTATCCAGTATTTTTTTTTTTCCTTGGAACATTAATTCATTTCCATTATTCATCATTCTAATACAGTTTCCTCAAGATCAAGAAACTACCCAGGCCCGGCTCGAGAAATCTCCCCAGAGCCGACTTGGGAAAGCCTTTGCAGACGTGCTTTCTTACACCGCAGCCACCAAGACTCTTCAACTAGCCGAGCCAGCAAGCAATTTGTTTCCCTCCTCTGTGAACCCCGAAAGACCATCTGAGGTCTCGAATGAGCGGACCTCTGGAGCCGACACGATTCGGGTCAGCCTCTCCAGCGCTGTGAGCACGTCGAGCCATGGCTCTTGCGTGGAGGACTTTGACAATCTGGGCGACGTCTTCATGTGGGGCGAGGGTCTAGGGAACGGAGTATTAGGCGGTGGCCTAACGAGGCTCGACCCCTTGTGCAACCCGAAAAGTGATGCCTTGCTGCCCAAGGCACTTGAGTCGAGCGTGGTCCTTGACGTGCAGCATGTGGCGTGTGGGAGGAGGCATGCCGTTGTGGTCACCAGGCAGGGGGAAGTGTTCAGCTGGGGGGAGGAGGACGGGGGCCGGCTCGGTCACGGGGTGGAATCCGATATTCCAAACCCAAGGCCCATCCAGGCCCTCGGTGGGAAGCCCGTCGAGGCCGTTGCATGCGGCGAGCGCCACACCTGCGCCGTCTCGCTCTCCGGTGATTTGTATATGTGGGGCAATGGGGGCTCTACTGATGGGCCTGTCCACTGGCTCCCAAAGCGGGTCGCAGGCCCGATCGATGGCCTGCAGGTCTCTTCCGTGGCGTGTGGGCCCTGGCACACAGCCGTGGTGACGTCAGCGGGCCGGCTGTTCACGTTCGGGGACGGGACGTTCGGCGCGCTGGGGCATGGGGACCGCTGTGGGACCTGGGTCCCGCGTGAGGTCGAGGGTCTGAAGGGGCTGAGGACGGTGAGGGCAGCGTGCGGCGTGTGGCACACAGCAGCAGTCGTGGAGTTGAGGTCAGACTCTGGGCAGCTGCCGCCACCCGGGCGGGCCCTGTCCGGGAAGCTCTTCACGTGGGGGGACGGGGACAGAGGCCAGCTTGGCCACGGGGATTTTGAGCCGAGGCTGGTTCCAGAGATGGTGTCCTCGTTGGCCAGCGTGGATTTCTGTCGGGTGGCGTGTGGGAATAGCCTCACAGTGGTTCTGACCACATCCGGTTGGGTCTACACGATGGGGAGCACCGGTGGGTGTCAACGTGGGAAGCTCCCGATCTGCATGAGAGACACCATAGCTGAGTCGTTCATCGAGGAGATTGCCTGCGGGTCCCACCACGTGGCCGTACTGACCTCGAAATCGGAGGTCTACACTTGGGGCAGAGGCTCCAACGGGCAGCTGGGACACGGTGATATCGAGGACCGCAATATTCCCACACTCGTTGAGTCCCTCAAAGACAAGCAGGTGAGGAGCGTCGCGTGCGGTTCGAATTTCACGGCTGTAATATGCCTCCACAAGTGGATATCAACGGCCGACAATTCTATCTGTTCGGGCTGCCACAGCCAGTTCAATTTCATACGCAAACGGCACAACTGCTACAACTGCGGTCTTGTCTTCTGCAAGGCATGCAGCTCCCACAAGTCTTTCCGGGCCTCGCTGGCGCCAAGCACGAGCAAGCCTTACCGCGTTTGCGATGACTGCTTCGCGAAGCTGGCACTGGCAGACACGTCCAGGGTGAGGATGGGAGAGAAAGACGGGAAGGGGAGTGATCTGAGGTTATCGTCGGCTGAGTCGTTCAAGTCGGACCGGAATATGAGCTTGAGTGTGAAGTTCGAGTCGGGGGAGAACCGCGTGTTCCCGCTGAGCGGTCAGAGGACGAGCACGTCGTCCAAGTCACCGAGCAGCCCGTTCGGGTCGTCCCAGAATTTCCTGTCGTTTGTTCTATCCGACTGGAAGATGATCTACCGGTCACCGTCCCCGGTTCCTGGGAAGACCCTGCTGAGGTCATCCACGCCTTTGCCACTCACGTCTGAGGCAAATGGGGAGGAGGTGAGGGATGGCAGTGAGGGGCTGAGCTTTGAGGTCAGGAGTTTGAGGGCACAGGTGAAGCTCTTTGCTATTTTTCTTCATTTTGCGGAATAATAGGAGAAAAGAAAACTTTCCCCTCTAAAGAAAATAAATAAATCATGTGATTCGGCTCCGGTGAGTATTTTTGGGTTTGTTGAAATTTTTGTTTGCCTGCTGCATGCAATGGTTTTAAGTTTGGACTGAGGAATATGGATAAGTAATAGAATTTGGGTGGACATGTTTCAGATCGAGTGCCTAACGAGCAAATCCCAGCTTCTCGAAATTGAACTCGAAACGAAAAGACAACAACTGAAGGATATGACGGCACGGGCAGCGGATGAAGCTGAAAAGGCCAAAGCTGCTAAAGAAGTGATCAAGTCTCTGACTGGCCAGGTTTCATACTCTTCTGCTGTATTAAATAGTTTTAATACTTTCAGTGCTGATTTTGTTTTGCACAAAGTCTTAACACAAATGAGGGTTCTAATTTCATGCAGTTAAAAGAGATGTCCGAAAAAGCGCCAGACGACCAAGTTGCCTGCAGCCATTTGGAAGCTGTCGAGCAAATGATAAGCGAACCGAACTATCCATCCCAAGGAAGTAGTGTGACTAGTGTAACCTCTCCAAAGTGCGAATCAAGTGACGCGGCAAATGAGCCACCGAATGAAAATGGTATTAAGGCCCAAGCGCAAAAAACAAAGCGGATTGTGCAGGACGAGCCTGGTGTGTACATAACACTTGTCACCCTGCCCAATGGTGCAAATGAACTCAGACGAGTTCGTTTCAGGTAAATACAATCAATCATTTTTACTTCGTATTGTAAGCGTTTTCATACACTCAGCCTAAGTATTTGCGGTTGGCCCCACCAACAGTAGGAAACGTTTCACGGAAGAAGAGGCGGAGAAGTGGTGGGCTGAGAACGGGACGAGAGTATGCGAACAACACAACATCACAACTGTAGAGTAGCAGTACCTTCTGCTGTAACAGCTCAAGGCTCGTCAAAGCCATTTCAGTCGGGATTTTTTGGTTCGTTTTCTTTTTGTTACTCTTTCTTTCGTTTTTCGGGCGGTATCTGTAAATCTGTTTGTTCGCGTTACTGTATCTGCTTTCTTTTTCGCCCGTCTTCGAACTTGGTAGTGTAGCTAGCTCCAGTATACTTCTGCCAGAAATGACGAAATTTACACGAGTCGCGATCTCTTGTCATCGCATTTCTATTTGATGACTCACACGAATTCGGCCAGTTAAAACTCGAATGCAAATGCTTTTATATGAGACGGTATAACATAAAGCAGGCCAAACTATCAGGTCTTCGGACAACAATATAATCTTTGAAGGTGTCCAAAGTTGTTGCCCATATTAAAGTAAAACTCAGCACTTGAGTAAGCTCATGATCTGAACACCACATCGATAAATGCAGGAGAAAAGAGAAAAGTGAAGCCACCAGCAGCAAATATTTACCCTTAATTACAATCGAGAAAAACGAGATTATGAAGAACCCATAAGTTGTATACATTTAATGTAAAATTTTGGGGAGATATAGAGAATCGCGCTTAAACAGTAAACAACGAAAGTTCACTCAGTCAAATCATGAACCTTCAATAGAGCATCTCACTTTTCATCCGAACTTTTTCATTCAAATAAGTGTTCGGCCAATGCAACTAGGATTTACAGCAAAGACTTCTTCTTCCTAAACTACGTCGTCTACACTTATCTAACTATTTTTTCTGAAGGTTTCCATGGTGAAAAATGATAAATGGACAAAGAAGGAACACAACGGATAAAAGTTGGATCCACAGGTCAGCAGCCGATTATAAGTTCCAATAGCATGACCACAAAGGAGAAAATATTTGATTTTTTTTGTTAGTTTGCCACTTGATGCGTACTCAGAGCCAAGTACCTGAATATTATACCAAAAATAAAATAAAATAAAACGATCATCAACAAATATATTTCAACAATTTCTTACTTGAATAATATAAATTAAATTTCGACTATGTTTTTAAACACATGCACAAGAAAAATCAAGATTTATGATGTTCGTGGTTATGAAAAATTACTATGCGTTTCAACTATATTAAACACATGCAGAAGAAAAAAAACAAACATATATTGAAAATATATTGAGTGTAAACGCAACATAAGCTAAAATTATTATGACGCACGTCTTGCTCAAGATTATGAAGCTTGTCGTTATGCTTTGACCTCTTTTTATTACAATTGACATATATTGACTGTAAACGCAACATAAACTAAAATTATCCTAGCCGCTTTTGCGTTGTATATTACGAAGACGTAAGTTGTATATATTCACGGAGATGCAAATTGTATACATATCTACTTATATGTTATATAATATAGTTACAAGTTATAAACCAAACATAAGCTGATTTTGTTTGAGCGAAAAAAAAAAAAAAAAAAAACTATAATCTAGCATGTATTTTTTTTTTTTTTTAACATCCTTCTGAGCACTTATAATATGTTTTACATGATATCAGTGTTGTACAATTTGTATGTATAAAATTAAGTAAAAACTATAAACAAAAAGCATAAACAAAATCTAAACATCACAGTTGTGGTTAGATTATGTCATGTGAATAAAAACGCAATATATACAGAGTATAAACACAACATATACTGAGAATATTCTTTGGTTAGTGAAATTTATCGGTCATCTCTCTTTTTTTCTCATATTGCCATATTCTCTAGCGACATCCATCCCGCCGCCGCAATTTTATACTCAAACATCACTGCCATCCCTTCCTTCCT